CAACCAACTGGCGCGTCACAATTGCCTGGACCCCAAATACGAAATTGACAGCACTGGGCCTCCCTAGATTTGTTAGTCCCGCCTTCACTTAGGGCGGGCACATCTGTAACACAGACCCAGATCCTCGCACACAGATTTATTTTCTTGAAACTCTTTTCTGGAATCTTTTGCGCTGTGCAAGGAATATGAGTGAGAACGATATACAGAAAGCCAAGTTGCAAAATCACAAAGATGTCCAAGTAGTCATGTACCAAGCAGAGAGCATAAATGCGCCAAGATTCCATTCACATAAGAGCGTTACTGTAATGACCCGCCAAAACACAGACTGAGAACACTGCTGATTTCTGGGATTTGCCGCTGGAATGAATGCCTTGCTGAGATTCCCGCATTCTGCTGTGGTTTCCGAGACTGTGCGTGTGTGCGTGCTTGATCGTTTGCGTGCCTGTCTGAGTGCTTGTCGGCTGAGCGTGTGTGTGACCCGCAAGGGTACTTGTTGGTTGAGAGGCCCCGCAGGGCCGGTACTTACCTGTGGCCGTGACTTTGAGGGTTGCAGCGGGAAAAACACTCAAGTAGCGGGGGTAGGCCCGTGACACTTAGAACAGCGGAGGAAAAACACTCAAGTAGCAGGTAGGCCGGCACCACTCGGGTAGTGGTAGAAGTGTCGGGTACTGGAGACAGAGCAGAAGAACACAAAAAGTCGGCATTTTTAGAGGCCCAGTAGCAGTAGGATAGAGGTAGGCCGGTACCAGTCCAAGTAGCTGGGAGGCCGCTCGTTTTGTTTTTTTCTTCCTCACCCTGCCAGCAAGGCAGCGCATATTCCTCTTGCTCAAAACGCCCTCGCTGAGGGCATACTCACACTAGCGACGTTGCGTTGAAATGCATCCAACCACTTTCACCGCCAAAGCGTTGTTGGCTTTGTTTCTTTTTTTCTTTTTTGGGGAGTCCGACAGTCCTGCTCCGCGTGTTCTATGTTCTGCTGAAGTGCCCTCACTGAGGGCAAACTCGCACGAGTACTCCAAAAAGTGTATCCAACTGCAATCACGGCCAAAGGCCTTTTTTTTTCTTTTTTGTTTTTTTGAGAGTCCCAC